TTTGGTGGTTTATTTATTTTTTTGTTTTTTTCTGGACAATTTTGCAACTTACAACCTTGGGAGTTTAACAATGGCTCTGCTAAAAAAAAAAAAAAAAACTACTCAACGGAGAGCCAGCCACGTGTACCATCCTTTTACACCACACAATTTCTCTTCACTTCACTTCAGTCTATGTATGCGTATCTCATTTTCTCTCCCTACTGCAAATTCTTCACCACTGAGTCTGTGTATCTCTCTGTCTCTCCTCGTCCAGAGAGATGTCCAAGATCTGGACTATGGTTTGAGATCTTGATGGCGATGAGTTCATGATCCCGAAATGCTACCTAAGATTTGTTCAACTTGATTTCGATTTTGGATTACAATTTGGAATTTCTATGCGAATCCGCCCAACAAAATTAGGGTTTCTTCTTCTCTTCAGGTACAATACATAATTTATTTATTTTATTTATATTTTGCTGTGTCAAAAACGGGTTTTCGCTTACAACTTCATCTCATCCTCAAAATCGAATCAACAAAATTAATCATGTATGGAAGTTCTATGCGACCCGTACAACAAAATTAGGATTTTTTTTCTTCTATTATTTACGTACTGTACATAAATTTTTTTGTTTGTTTGTTTGTTTTTGTTGGGTAACAAACATTTTGTTTTTGTTTATTTATTTATAATTTATATCTGTCAACGATTTTCTTTTGGTTTTTTTATTTATTTATTTATTCGAAGGGTTGTGTGGTTATCATGTTTTGTCTTTCTGCGTTTCCTGCTAGATTTGACTTCTTTTTGTTCAGGTAAGAAAGGTTTTCTTTGTGTCAGGATATGTTTCAGGCTAGAAAATTCATTTTAAGTGGTCAAAAACACAAGGCATTAAGACTTGTTTGGATTAGGTAGATATCTCCAGGAGCCTGGTAAGCCATGGAATTTTAGTTTGTTAAGAATAACATATTCTGAAAAATAAATTAAATTACTTATTAACTAACCAAGATTATTATTATTTTTTATTATTGTGGTGACTTTGGTTGGTTGCAGTGTCTGGGTGATGATGAATAAAGAGATACAGAGGTTATCTAAGATTCCGGATAAAGTTCGAGTGGAAATATGTCCATATTTCTCTTTTGTTCTCTGTTTGTGGATTTGAAGTTCAAGCCTACATCCTATGAAGCACGGACACGGACATCCATACGGGCACGGACACGAACATGGGACACGACAATTTCTAAAAAATGGGGACACTGACACGGCAAGGGACACGACAAATTTTTTAATGTTTTTATAAATATTTTTATTTTAATACATATTAATTATTTTATATATATGAACCAAGAAGATAAAGACGAGACGGCAGAGAGAGAGGGGGAGACAGAAGTGAGAGAGAAAGCGATCGATCGCGATCGCAATCGCGAGGGAGAGAGATAAGGCGAGAGAGAGCTCTAAGAAGGCGAAGGTGAAGGCGAGAGAGCTCTGAGAAGTCGATGGGCTCTGGATCGTCGAAGTCGAAGGGGGCTATAGCTAGTCAAAGTGGATTGGATCCTTGAAGTTGAAGGGCTATCGCTAGTCGAAATGGACTGGATGGAGGTTGATTGGCTCAAGATCGAAGTCATGAGAGAGCGAGACTTACGGTGGAAGTCAAATTGAAGTCGCCGACTAGGTTTGTACTGCTTTTCTCTTTTGTTTACTCTTCTCGCCGACCGTGTCCCATGGCGTGTCTAGATTTGGACACGTGTCCCTGTCGTGTCCCTTGCAAAAAAATAAATTAAATTAGGGGGAACACGCCATCTGGCGTGTCCCGTACTTGTCCCCGTATCCGACACCGCCACGGCTTCCATTTTGGCGTGTCCATGCTTCATAGTATAAAGTCCACCATTTAGAAATGATGTTATTAGCATGGTTGTTAAAATCGCGATCCGGATCGCAGGATCTGCGATCTTTGCCAAAACGATCCAGATCGTTGTAGGATCAATGTTATAACAGGATCGCAAGTAGGATCGTGTAGGATTGCATGGGATCGTGCAGGATCGTATAGGATTGTAGGTAGGATCGCAAGTTGGATCGTAGATTTTATCATTTTTCACCTTATTTTTAATATGTATCATTTTAATTTTTATTTTGATCTTTTTTTTAATAGAAAGTAGGATCCTACGATCCTTGATCCAATCCTACGATCCGATCCACTAGACCCTCTCACTGATCCTACTTAGGATCCTGATTTTAACAACCTTGGTTATTAGACGAGGGACCAAGCTCCGTTATAACTTGAACATAGTGTTAGGCCATAACCTATTAGCTGGGTGGGTTTGTTGATCTCGTTAACCCATCAAAAAGGTCAAGATTGGAGGTGAAGGAATATGATGCAAGTTGGTAATGTAAACCAATATGTATGTTCATTAAAAAAAATGTGCAATCCTGACCATCCTGGAAACCACCATAAACTGAATACATGGAATTGTTAAGACAATTATAGCACAAGTACAAACCTAACTCAGCAACAAACAATTTTTGGTCTGGAATATAGTCACGGCATTAGGAGATAGTCAATAAAATATTTGGGACAAGATTAGAGTAAGATGATTGTACAAGGAAAACAGTGCTTGTTGTGCAAACACATACAAGACAGGCCACATCAGCACCACGCCATTATCCAATGTCATTTGTGACACATGGACCAATCACATTTCTCTGTATACTTCCTTTCTAAGTTGAGTCATGGTTGAAGCTAATGTACACAGTTTTAAGTCTTAAGCGTAGGTGCTTAGGGAAATTCTCCAAACATCTCCCAGTCTATAGAAGTACCTACGCAGCACTTCAGCTTTCTGCTCGCTTGTTCACCTTCTTCATCGATTGCAAACATAACCAACAAATACTATTTTCTTCTATTTCTTTGCAAAATAATGACCTATTTCAAGATTTATACATTTCTCAATCCTCCTTGTGTGGTGTTTGGCTTTTATGAACGAAAAATAAGAGAGAGAGAAGAGAGCTCAATATCCCCAAATGTGATTACATTGACTTTAATACCTTTGATATTCATAGAGGCGAGGCTTCCCATATTTTTTGTGATCACCGATAATTGGAAAAGATGGAAAACAATTTATGTTTAAGACTCCAGCGTAGCTTTCGTTGCGTGGGATGTATGCATAGCCACCTATACCCCACTTCTTCCCCCAAGAATTTTTTATCAGCTAGACGGGTTCTCCATTGTAAGTCCCCTTGCCTACAAGACAAATCACATGAAATTCTACTAGTGGATTGTTGACAAGATCTAATTCATCACTCAGCTTCATCATATCAATCCCGTGTAAAAAACAGGGTAGCTTGTACACACCCTACATATAAAAATAAAAGACAATAAGATTTAATTACAAGTTATTTCAAAATTATTCAAATAAAATATTTTTGTATTTAGTAGTTTATAACCCTTTATAACAATCGAATGGCTCATAGCAGGCTATATAAACAGTGATCGGGTGATACTGGAGAATTCTTGACATCTCATCCTCCTTTTCGGTTTCAATCCCGTAATATCCATCGATAAAAACTCTCGGACTATGAAACTACAAAAATTATAAACATCATAACTACAATATATATATATATATATATATTTTATTAGCAAAAATAAACCTTAATAATAATAATCAAGGAACAATACAAATGATTATCATTAATAAAGGGGGGGTAAGTGCAAAAGAGCATCACAACAAAACTAAATGATCCCAACTAGGTTGACACTGAAATAGCTTGCCCAATCATTTGCTAGCACAACCCAAAATTGGTGTCACCAACCAAAAGACAAGCACAATATGCAAAACAAAAAGAAAGCCAAAAGTGAAACAAAGGATAAACTGACAAGCAACTAGGATAACAGCCAAAAAATCCTAAGTAACCCACATGGCTGCTAGCAAAATACCAATCCACATGCCTTTCAATTAACATCCCACAGAAGTCAAGCATTTCTCCTTTCTCAGTTTCCATCAAATGCAGCCTCCTCCCAAACAAATCAGATCAATAACCCGAGCTCCTTAACCAACAATCCAATTCACAAAATACCAACAATCCAATTCACAAGAATCATTGGTAATCACCACAGCTGCCAAACCCACAGTTTCCACCTTCATTTCAACAGTCCCGACTTAACCACCTTGGTTCCAGCATGTTCTCACCTGGTGTATATTTGAAACTATCTCATTTATAGAGTAAAAGCACCCCAACATTATGTGATTTCAACTAGATGGCTAATCCTACTTTGATACTCAACCAAACTTCGAGGCTTTGTGGGAGTTTATCAAAGTAGGATTAGCCATTTGGTTGAAATCATATAATGTTGGGTGCTTTTACTCTATAAATGAGATTGTTTCAAATATACATCAGGTGAGAAGGTGCTGGAACCAAGGTGGTTAAGTCAGGAATGTTGAAATGAAGGTGGAAATTGTAGGTTTGGCAGCTGTGGTGATTACGAATGAATCTTGTGAATTGGATTGTTGGTTAAGGAGCTTGGGTAATTGATCTGATTTGTTTGGGAGGAGGCTGCATCTGGTGGAAGCTGATAAAGGAGGAATGCTTGATTTATGTGGGATGTTAATTGCAGGGGATGTGGGTTGGTATTTTGCTAGCAGCCATATGGATTACTTGGGGTTTTTTGGCTGTTATCCAGGTTGCTTGTTAGTTTATCCTTTGTTTCACTTTTGGCTTTCTTTTTGTTGTGAATTGTACTTGTCTTTTTGGTTGGTGACACCAATTTTGGGTTGTGCTAGCAAATGATTGGGCAAGCTATTTCGGTGTTAACCTAGTTGGAATCATTTAGTTTTGTTGTGATGCTCTTTTGCACTTACCCTCCATTTATTGATGATAATCATTTGTATTTAATTTTTGTAGTTTCATAGTCCGAGAGTTTTTATCAATGGATATTGCGGGATTGAAGCCGGAAATGAGGATGAGATGTAAAGAATTCTCCAGTATCACCCAATCGCTGTTTATATAGCCTACCATGAGTCTTTCGATTGTTATAAAAGAGTATAAACTACTAAATACGAAAATGTTTTATTTGAATAATTTTGAAATAATTTGTAATTAAATGTTATTGTAATTTATTTTTATATGTAGGTTGTGTACAAGCCATCCCGTTTTTTACACGGGCTTGATATGATGAAGCTGAGTGACGAATTAGATCTTGTCAACCTTCCACTGGTGGAATGTCATGTGATTTGTTTTGTAGGCAAGGGGGCTGACAATGGATTACCTGTTTGACTGATAAAAAATTCTTGGGAGAAGTGGGGTTTAGGCGGTTATGCATACATGCCACGCAACGGAAGCTATGCTGGAGTGTTAGGGATAAATTGCTTTCCATCTTTTTCAGTTATCGGTGATCACAAAATATATGAGAAGCCTTGCCTCTATAAGTATCAAATGTATTAAAGCCAATGTAATCACAGCTGGGGATATTGAGCTCTCTCTCTCTCTCATAAAAGCCAAACACCGCACAAGGAGGATTGGGAAATGTATAAATCTTGAAATGGGTCATTATTTTGCAAAGAAAGAGAGGAAATAGTATTCGTTGGTAATGTTTGCAATTGATGAAGAAGGTGAACAAGCAAGCGGAAAACTGAAATGCTGGGTAGGTACTTTTACAGAGTGGGGGATGCTTAGAGAATTTCTTTAAGTACCTAGGCTTGATACTTAAAACTATGTACACTAGCTTCAACCATGACTCAACTTAGAAGGGAAGTATACAGAAATATGTGATTGGTCCGTGTGTCACAAATGACACTGGGTAATGTGTGGTGCTGATGTGGCCTGTCTTGTGCGTGTCTGCACAACAAGCACTGCTTTCTTTGTACAATCATCTTAGTCTAATCTTGTCCCAAATATTTTCTACACTATCTCCTAGAGTCATGACTATATTCCAGACAAAAAATTGTTTGTTGCTGAGGCACTTACCAATTAGTCCTATTAACTAGACTTATTTACCTACATGTTCTAACTGATAAATTTATCAATATAAAAACATGAGACTAATAAATTTATCACTATAAATTTATTCATAAAAATAAGAGACTGATAAATTTATCAATAGGACTTAATGGGCAAAATGTCTCAAAAGTAGGACCTATTGGTAATTTCTTCTGGGGCACTTACCAATCAGTCCTATTAACTAGACTTATTTACCTATAGGTCCTAATTGATAAATTTATCACTATAAAATAAAGAGACTGATAAATTTATCACTATAAATTTATTCATAAAATAAAGAGACTGAGAAATTTATCACTATAAATTTATTCATAAAAATAAGAGACTGATAAATTTATTACTTCATAAATATATCAATAGGACTTAATAGGTAATAAGTCTCAAAAGAATGACCTATTGGTAATTTCCCATGGGGCACTTACCAATCAGTCCTATTAACTACACTTATTTACCTATAGGTCCTAACTGATAAATTTATCACTATAAAGACAAAAGACTAATAAATTTATCCTTAGTTGCACGAAGCGGTAGCAAGAGCGAGAGCGTGGAATCGTAGACATTTCAAGAATCGTTAGTTGGGAGCGTTTGTATATATTTTAAATTATATATAAAAATATATTTAAAGTACAAATTGCTCTCTCTAGTTTGAAAAATTACAAATAGCCCATTGTTAAAATTTTTTATTTAACAGTATTAACTAAAAAAAAAAAATTCATAATTGTTCTTCTATATAATAATAAAATTACCTAAATTATTAATTGAAACATATTTATAACATCATTAAAAATTGTTAATTGACTTGATGATTTTTTAATAAAAGAGGCGATTTGTTATGAAATTAGAAACCTCAGGGGGTGGAATGTAATTTCTAGAACCACAGGGGGCGATTTGTATTTTAATCAAACCTCAGGGGGTGTATTTGCAATTTACCTTTAAAATTATAAGGATACAAAGGTTAAAATGTAAGAACTACTAGTATAATTTGGGAGAAATTCTATTTCTACACACCCTTTTATCTCTATGCATATCATATCTCAGTTCATACACTTAATGAATTTGAAAAAAAATATTTTACTCAGTACACAATCCATTATACCAGAAATATCCTTTTTTTCATCATTTCAACACTAACCCTAATTTCTAACCCTAGCCACTGTCGCCACCTCCACCATCAGAGGTAGTGCTGATGCCAACACTACCTTCTCCCCTCACAGTCGTCATTTTTCCAATCCCCTTTACTTTCGGTCACCTTCCTCGGTCGCTATCTACAACTAGCAGACCCTACTTTTTCATCCTTTATCGCCGTCGCCTAGCTTCTCTCTAGTGTCAACTGCTACTATCTCCACTCATCGGTACCACTATTGTGACCTCTCTCTTGTGATCGTGATGACAGATATTGCAACGATAAGAGCTGTAGGGATGGGCCATCATGAGGTGACGGAGATGTTGGAGAGTGGTTGAGGTGTGGTCAAGGTAGGAGGCTGGAGGTAGTATGGTGATTAGTTAGGGTTTTAGAAATTTTCGGGTGGTTTGAAAATTAGTGTCTTGGATATGGAAGATAAAGAGTATTTTGGGTAGTTTCATTTTAGGATAAAAAGGGGCACTTACCAATTAGTTCTATTAACTAAACTTATTTACCTACATGTCTTAACTGATAAATTTATCACTATAAAAACAAGAGACTGATAAATTTATCACTATAAATTTATTCATAAAAACAAAGAGACTGATAAATTTATCACTATAATTTATTCATAAAAATAAGAGACTGATAAATTTATGAATAGGGTTTAATGGGTAATAAGTCTCAAAAGTAGGACCTGTTGGTAATTTCCTGTGCTATAATTGTCTTAATAATTCCATGTATTCAGTTTATGGTGGTTTCTAGGATGGTCAGGATTGCACATTTTTTTTAATGAACATACATATTGGTTTACATTACCATATTGCATCACATTCCTTCACATCCAATTTTGACTTTTTTGATGGGTTAGTGAGACCAACAAACCTACCCAGTTAATAGGTTATGGTCTAACACTATGTTCAAGTAATAACGGAGCTTGGTCCCTCATCCAATAACATCATTGCTAAATGGAGGACTTTATAGATATATATCTTGTTTACTAGTCACCTGAATATTTTCATGTTTAACCTTTCCCATGCTAAAAATAAATTGAAAATCTGTTTGAACTATTTTCTAATTTTATTTAGGGCTACATACAGTGGTGGGATGAATGGTTATATAGCCTGTTGTGCTGAGGATCCTTGCCCCCCAATTTTTCGGTCACCAATTTCTGGAATGGAAGATATTATGGACAATCAAGTCATGTAAGCTTACATGCAATCAAAATAATTTTATATTGGATTAATTGAATTCACTTTTTTATCTTGAGCTGTTACATTGTGTTTACTTTTTCCCTATTCACCATCCAGATGCGCTATATACAGACTTCCAGATGCTCACAAACATATCACTCGACCACCTGCTGGGGTTATATTCCCGAAGAAGGCTTTATCTTGTCACGTTCTCTGCTTGTCATTAACATTCCTCTTGTTAGTAGTTTATTTATTATTTTTATTTCTGCATTCTGTTTCAATATATAAGGCATCTACTTGTGCAGATGTGCTTTTGTGATAAACCCTTGTGCGTGTCTACTTATTTCATGGTCAAGCAATGTAATGGAAATCAAAAAGATAATAACAAATAATAAAGGAGATGCATTCAACCAAGGTTTAGAGGTAGCACAAAGACAATGTTTCAATATTAGAGCCCATATGAGCATGGTTTTTTGCCCGTATTTCGATTTGTTTGGTGTGAATAGAGTTCTCTGGCTTTAGATTTATTAGATATGGTTTATTATGTTATTATTTAAATCTTGGTTTGGTTGAGGTTCTTTAAAGCAATTCCTTGCTTTAAGTTAGTAAATCTTGGTTACTTGATCAAGCATGGTAGAGCACTGTAGTTGGACATATTTTATTTCAAAAATGTTTAAGAGCTGTAATCTAGGAGCTCTATGGGAGCTCTAACTGGCGGGTCCCACCTCCTGATGTGATGTTTGGTCTTTTTTTTTTTTCTTCCCTTTCACCGCCAGCTCATTAGAGCTACTGATTTAGAGCTTTGAATCATAACTAATTTTATTTTACACATGCTAGAGACTTAGATAGTAATTAGCTTTCCATGTATTTTACATCATGGTGTTGTGTGTTGATGGATTTGAAATAAAGGCATTTGGGTTTCATTTCATACTTAAAATAATCGAGAGAATTGGTATTGAAGTGCTTCCATTTGAAGCGTTAAGGTAAAGGTTTAAGATTCATCGTACTAGAATAGTTGTGCCACTAGAATTTCGGAGGTTTAGGTCAAAATTCATGGTTTTTTTTCTTCTTCAAAATCATTCATAAAGTTCTTATAAATCCATTCGTGGAAAATTTAATCCGAGCTATATTGCTTGAAGTTCTTTTTGTTGGATGGTGGAAAAATAAAAGGAATGGAAGAAGGTAGGAGCAGAAGGATATCAAAGTTCACCTTTTTTCTTCTAAAATTACTGAGATAAGGTTCTGAGATAAGGTTCTCAAATTCATTCGTGGAGTTTGTCTTCGTCAAATCTTTTTTAGTTATGTTTAGTCTTGCTAGGGTTCACTACAGGAAATTACACTTTTAGCTACCAAATTTTTAGTCGCTGAAGGCTCTTTTTTAGTCGTCGAAAGTCATTGGCGACTGAAGTTTTTTATTGCCCATTTAGTCACCAAAGCCTTGTCGGCAATAGTCAATGGTGACTAAATTCACATTGGTTGCTAATTATATTATCTTCGGGTAGTAAAACAAACTTAGTTGCCAATGGTCACTTTTTGGCGACAAAAGATTTAGTCACTGAATGTAATCAAATAAAAATGAAATTCTCTTTCAGCGACTAAATATTGCAATCGCTAAAACCTTTTAGTCGCCAATAATAACACATTTAGCAACTGCAAAGTTTAGTTGCCGTTTTATGCCACCATTAGCCACCAAATAGTTTAGTTGCCAAAAGACTGGATATTTTCATTGCATTGTATTTTACAGCCAACCATTTTTGTTGCCAAAGGTGTCTTGTTTTTTCGTGACTAAAATATTTAGTCGGCAATATTGTTTTGGCTACTAACTATTTGGTTGCCAAAAGTCTTTTGTTTTTTTTTGTTTTTTTGCTACTAAGTATTTAGTCACCCAAAAACTTTGCTTACATTTTTGGCTACCAAATATTTAGTCTTCAAAAACTTTATAATTTGATTTTTTTAATTAATTTCTCAACCACCTGTATTCATTCCATTATTAATGCAACCTGTACCCTGCATATAAATAAAATAATCCATATAATGATTATATTATCAATCATATCAGAACGTGCACACATTTCGCTTTCAACTATCCAAAAAATTCATAGTTAATATCAAATTTCAAATGTAATAGAAATTCCATATAAACGAAGTATAATCCAATCTCAAAAATGTAATGCCATACAGAACAGAGGATTAAACAAAAATCATGCTCTATAAACACAAAAAAGCAATCTGTACCACGCCAAAAAAATAATCTATACGAACAATAGTAATATGTAGACTAAAACAATGTCCTCCGTAATTGTCCAAAAAAAGTCACATCCACAATTCCACGCTAAAAACCCTCTATAAAAATAAAATTCATCATTAGTATTGATTGAATATTGGCATATTTAAAATTATAAAAGAAAATCACATAAAACTCGAATGTAATTATTCTTTTCCAATTAATCATTAGTTTTGCATACTCGAATGTATAAAAAAAATCGAAAGAAAAAAAAAAGAAGAAAGAAATTCAAAAAAAAAAAAATTCTAGTTATTTTTCTAAATAAATCTTCATAAACAACTCAAATCATAGTTAGCAACTTTGAAATTCAACTGACAAACAAATTAGTATTGACACAAACAATTCATAATTCCAAATTAGTATTAAGATAAAAATAAATCTCCATTATAATCTCACCAAAAGCTAAAAAGCCCATTTCAACAAAGTGATATTAAACTTCCAGCAAAACAGGGCAAAACAGGGCAAACACATAACATGTTGACTAGAGGCCCCAAAGAAACTTCAAAAAAAATAAAAAAATGAAAAATAAAAACACACATTGATAATTGTCCTATTATCAGTGTAGTCATTGTTCATTTATAAAAGCTATGTTCAATTTTAAAAGTTATGCTTTACTTCCATAAATGGAAAGTATAAAAAAAAAAAATTGAATCAATATGCAACAACAGATCAATACCAGAATCAGAGTTGGAGATATTGATCTTCCTTTTCTTTTCACGAATCAAAACTACTTCTACTACTACTTGTGAGCAGCACATTTAAACAACACAAATATATATGTTTTGAACAATTAGTAATAATGTAAGGACATTTAAAACAATGGTTGGGGCTATTTTGCATTTTTGCTGCCCTGATTCCCATTTTTCAACTAAGTTTAAGGTATTTTCGACTGCAACTCTCAATCTATGTGTCCTATTTACATACCATCAGTTCTCACAAGTCATTTTTGGCACGAGGAAGTTGCCCATTACATCCAAACAGTGGTTGGGGGGTTGTTTTGCATTTTCGCCTCCCGAACGCCCTTTTTCAATAAAGTTTAAGGCGTTTTCGACTTTAACTCCCAATCTACGTGTCCTCTTTACGTACCATCAATTCTCACAGGTCATTTTTGGCATGATGAAGTTGCCTGTTACATCGCAACAGTGGTTGGGGGGCTATTTTGCATTCTCGCCCCCTGAACCCCCATTTTTCAACTAAGTTTAAGGCGTTTTTGACTCTAACTCGCAATCTACATGTCCTATTTATGTTCCATCAGTTCTCACAAGTCATTTTTGGCACGAGGAAGCTGCCTGTTACATCCCAACAGTGCTTGGGGTGCTATTTTGCTTTTTTGTCCCCCGAACACCCTTTTTCGTCTAAGTTTAAGGCGTTTTCGATTTTATCTTCTAATCTACATGTCCTATTTACGTACCATCAGTTCTCATAGGTCATTTTTGGTACGAGGAAGCTGCCCGTTACATCCCAACAATACCTAGAAACTAACCAAGGACCCAATTCCCAAGGATATTCCGAAGGATAAAGAAAATAAATTTACATGTTATTGGCAAATATACCTGTGCAATATTTCCAAAGTTGATTGACCTTCCAACAATTATAATTAACAGCGAAGTGATGCTCATTCATTCTCCCTTTCAAACTTGACATTACAAAGGCATAGATCATGGAATATACATCTGTAATTGTGCTTACCATAGAAATACAGAACTTAAAATTATGATATGCATATTGCAATCAAGTTAGGGAAAAATAGATGTTAAAATTTTCAAACATCGAACTCTCCATAATACCAATTACAGTGTGCAGATTTTCAAATCAAAACTTTGAAATTTGAGAATATAAATACACTTCTCTTAAAAAAGGTGGAAAAAAAATGTGACTAAAAAAATGAGCTTCTTACCAAACCAAAAGGCAATATAACCCGAGCACCACTAAGAGGTGCTCTTTAAAGCCTACCCGCTTGATGGGCCTATAAGCTTCAAACTCCCTTTTTATTTCGCTCTCCAATGTTTCATAATTCTGAAAGAAGGCAGGCATCATACAAGTTACTAAGTTAAATATTAGGAAATAATTGAAAATTGAAAAACAATAAGGCACTGTTACTCACAAGCCTAGCAACAAAGAGTGTCTTGTATGGGTCTTGAGAAATATTTGGGTCGTTAGTTGGATCATCTGTGAGGAAGATTATTTAGAAATAAAAAAAATTCTTTGATAAGTTCTTTTTAGAAATAAAGATAACCGAACCACAAACTATGGATATTGACTTTGTCTAGCTTATAATCATTGAAAAGAGACAGTGGCCTTGTCACATTTCTCAAGCTCTTCTGCAGCGTTTTTTGCACCCTCCTCCAGCCGTAATGTGTGGATTCTAGCCCTTCTTTGAGCCTGAAAACACCAAATGAATCAATAAAGATACATAGGCATGTTAAGATGTTACATCTAAGTTGTGTTACAAAGAAATAAACACAGAAGATACTTATGAGATCCATTGCAAGGCCTTGCAAATGATGAACCAATATTTCTATTTTTTTTGGGATGCGTAATACATGATAGTCTGAATTTCCAAAATCTACAACTTCTAAACAATTTAAACAGTTAATCATGAATATTGTTGTCTATTAATATGCTCTCTTATTTTAAGACTACAATATTGTATGAATAATTAATGCATCATTGAGATATTGTTATTGATAATTTATTATTCGAATTGGGAGTTTGACGTATTATCCCTCTCTAGAAAAAAAATGCGTACTCCACCTTTAACCTATTATCCTTCTCTAGGCAAATTGTATCCACCTTTTATGCAGTTATACTAAAACAAATTAATATTTTGCATGTGGACTTCATTAACATAATAAGCAATGCTCCACCAGTAAAATTTGACACTAAAGCATTTGATTATGGGAAAATTA